ATTATCTACCTTAATATGTTTTAATAATAAAAAAGGGAAGTAACTGTTATAAGTTTCGTGTATGCATTCAAATAGGGACTATTGTGATGGTGCAAATCAAATACGTCGCGAGGCAGAAATATACTTTTCCCCAGGTCATTGAATGTCTAATTAAAGTTAAAAGGTCTATTAAGGGGCCTCTATATGTAAAAAATGCTAATTAAGCTTGGAAATAATTATTTTTAGGAAAGTGATCTATATAATTATATAAAGCAAAGTTGTCGGGTGCCTGCACTTCCCGGCGCCGCAGGCGCTTCAAATTTGGCATGAGTCTGCCTTGGGGCGATAGAACACGAGAGCCGGTGCCGGTTGGCCAACAAGTTCACGTAGAGGGGGTCAAAACTGACCTCGACTGACCGGCGCCAAATATGGCCTCTATAAGGAAAAAAACTTTTGCCCGACGACCCCCCTTGAAATTTTGTGAGGTGGTAGGAGAACGCCTTGGGGTGTCACAAAAAACTCGCCATGTCCGGGAAAAAATCTGGAAATGGGTCAAAAACTGACCAGTCGTATTTCCCTATATAATCTTTGTATTTTATGGGGAAAACAGAGGGTCATTTCAAAACGGATTTTAGGGCACTAACCGTCTTTACATCTGGCTGATTTTTGGCATGCTTATAGGTAAATGGCTTGGCCATAGGGCAAACCTGTCGGTTTCACTCAAAGCCCTCGACAAGGGCTAAAAAGTGACCGCGAGTGAAATTCTCTTTATATGAGCTCTATTACGAAAAAACTTTCGTCCGACGACCCCCCTTGAAATTTTGTGAGGTGGTAGGAGAACGCCTTGGGGTGTCACAAAAAAACTCGCCATGTCCGGGAAAAATCGGGAAATGGGTCAAAACTGACCAGTCGTATTTCCCTATATAATCTTTGTATTTTATGGGAAAAACAGAGGGTAATTTCAAAACGGGCACTTACCGTCTTTACATGTGGCTGATTTTTTGCATGCTTATGAGTAAATGGCTTGGCCATAGGGCAAACCTGTCGGTTTCACTCAAAGCCCTCGACGAGGGCTAAAAAGTGACCGCGAGTGATATTCTCTTTATATGAGCTCTATTACGAAAAAAGTTTCGTCCGACGACCCCCCTTGAAATTTTGTGAGGTGATAGGAAACGCCTTGGGGTGTCACAAAAAACTCGCCATGTCCGGGAATAATCGGGAAATGGGTCAAAGCTGACCAGTCGTATTTCCCTATATAAAGTTTGTATTTTATGTGAAAAACAGGGTAATTTCTAGGCAAATTTTAGGGTACTTAACTTCAGTACAATTGTCTAATTTTTTGCATGCTCTTCTATAGATGACTAGGACCAGTGGCGTAGCCAGGATCGTCTCAAGGGGGGGGGGGTTTCAATTTTTACCCGGGGACAAACTTTCGATTTGCACCCCCCTCAAACTTTCGATTTGCACCCCCCCCCCCCCCTCAAACTTTCGATTTGCACCCCCCCTCTCAAACTTTTGATTTGCACCACCCCTCATACTTTTTATATATACCGAGGGGTCTATGGGGGGGGGTTATGTCCCCCCCTACCCCCCCCCCCCTGCCTACGCCACTGACTAGGACGTATGGAAGAACTGTTGGTCAGACTCAAAACCCTCGACGAGGGTGAAAATTTGACCGCGAGTGAAATTCTCTTTATATGAGATATATATAAATAAATTGACGAACGATTCCCCTAATATTTGTGAGGTCGTAGACCGACCCTGGTAGGTAACAATAAAACTTTATTTCCCGTTCGGAAAAATCCCTAAGGGTCGTTAGATTTTTTTAAAAGCTATATTTTCTTATATAAACAATTGTTTCTGAAAATGTAAACAAAGATTACGTCATTTGGCCTATGTACAGGGGATGTAACTTTTTAAAGTAATAATTTTTAAAACAAATTTATATTATTTTAAAAAGAAAACGAAAATCACAAAGTATAGCATTCGTTTAAATAAATATTTCGTTATATGGTAAGTTATGAATTTTATTGAAATTGTAAAAAGTTAATTTAATAACATTTTTTATTTATACTATTAAGGAAGCCTTTGCAGTTCTAATAGCAAAGAAATAACTAATTAGCTAAAAAACATAACATAGGCACACACTGATTAAGTGACTTATATGATTCCGTTAAAAATCTGGCTATTCAATGGTCATTATGTTGTTTTTAAGTAATTTGTATTAGTTTTACCGATAAAATTGAATATATTTCATAGCGTACGTCTTGATGAGTAGATCTATAGATCTAGATAAAATTTGAATGAAGTAGTTCCTTTCTTTATAGTCTAAAATCGGAAGATTCACATATTAAAAAAACAAAAAAAGTGTTTGACTTGGTGGGTCTCGATCCCGCATCCATCTGCATGGTATTATGTACACTATCGTCTTAGCTATTTAGGTACATTATAATTGTATCCAAAATTAGGCAATTCCATGGCTAACCAAACAAAGATTTCTATAAAATAATTAAGGCCTGAAATTATTATTGGAAAAAATTCTAGAGTAATTAGAGTCTAAATCTAGATCTAGGTCTTAGCGTCTAAGTCTAGTCTAGTTTTGTGCGTAGATTGTCTAGATCTAGAATCTCAAGATCTAGATCTAGAGATCTAAAATTTAAATAGATAAAGTAATTTTTAAAAGTTTAGATCGAGAAAATTGTATTGTATAGATCTAGATTTCATAGCGTACGTAGATCTATCCTATTTGAAATGGGAACACAATCTTCTTCGGTAGAAGCCGCCATTGTTGATGTAAAAAGTAAACAAATCATGTGACGTCACTATTCAGTCAAAGTAAAGCCACTGTTTGAAACTTTTAAAATTAATGTGGTTAATCTACCAATGAATAAATCAATAAATTAATTAACTTCTTTAAATCAATTTGTGATTAACAGTCTGTCTGAAAACAAAAATTGTTCTCTACCTACATACTATTTTACAGCTCTACACATAGTGCAGATTCTCTCCAGTAGCCAATCAGACAAACAAACAAATAAATATTCAAACATGTATACAAACTTGAGTTTTAGTAGTATTTAGATAGATTAACACAATCAGACAATACCGAAATTTAGCATTATTTTTGTGTAAGATCTGTGTTATTAAATATATTTTGTATTCTAATTAAATGAAGGAATTAATTTTTAAAGTAAATTTGATATAACTTGCAAATTATATTATTCAGGGACCCTTTGTATTACTAATTACGTGTAGGTAATAAATTGCGAATATTCCATCAATTTCTCTAAATTTACCATTACTGTTTTAATTGAGAACTCCATATCAGCCAATCTCTAATTAAGTAAGCATTCAAATTCGCACATTTTTTTTAGAAAACCTAAGCGAAGTTAGGCAGTATGCCTAGTATATTATAAAAAATGAAGATTAGGCCCTATGACGTATGAGTTGCAATTGACATTTTTTATTATTTATTTATGTGTTTATTCGTCTTTCCCTATCAGCGCCTTACACTAACCTAACACTTAACCTTACATTTACCCACACGTCCAAAAATCAATGACTCAGTATCTTTACGAATATTGCGTACGGCTAATCGACAATTACCCAAAAGTGTATCACGTGATTCTAACCAGGAGTATCGCGTCATTTTATTGACACATTCCACATGCTTTTAAAGCTATGCATTGACGTCAGTCTTGAGCCTTAACAGGATCAGTTCTCCTCTGTGAAGTGCATTTTCTTAATCCAAGATCTGCAAAATATTTAAAAAGGCGAGCTCATTAATCGTTATATTTTTTTTAGATCTATAGATATAATATCGCAATTCTAGAACCACTAAACATTCAAGGTTCTGTTAAATAGTGTTAATAAAACGCGAATGTTTTTTTGTTTAATTTTAAATTCGGCTGATCTCCCCTTTGTTGATATCTGCAATGTCAGACTGACACCTGTTCAACCATAAAACCTGACGCCGAGGGCGAACAGATGCACGAGTGACGCGGGGTGCTACAGATTTGACAACGAAACGACAGTAACGTTGCTTGATCTTGGGGCTAAGATGTGTTTTTTGTTGTAAAAGCCTAAACAAAAGTATGCATAGTTTTACATCTCGATATGTTTCTGTAAACATAAACACGATTAATCTTAAAAGTATGGTTATGTTTAAAGCTAGTGTGTGGGATTTGGTATTGCTATGACGATCTAATTTAGATTTACCGTTGCTTTATTTCTTACTCAACACATATCCACGCCACTGTATGTGCCCATGTCCATGCCCATAACATACAGACATACAGATTAAAGGCATACAGATTACGGACATAATATAGACACATATACGACTAGAACTATTGGCATAAGTATATAGACACATATCCATTTTTTAATGTATAATTGTGACGTAATATTTACATTAATATACAGAATTATAGAGTATTTTGAAACGGTAATAGTCAGGCTACTCGACCGCAACGTCACCAATTGCTGCAACTTATCATGATATAATTTTACACTTTAGGAGTTCATGGGCGGATTGGGGGGGGGGGGGGCGGGGGGGTTCTAACCTTCCCTAACACCCTCTCCTCCCAAACCCGACACCTAACCATTATAGTCCTACTAACCTAATCTGTAATATCCGCTATACGGACACAGTCGACGAATACCTAATTTTTATTTTTGTAACACATTTCCCCCCCCCCCCCCCCACTTGCATGACAGACAACCGAACATCTCAGACACCACACGCCGTTGACACTCGTGCCTGCCTCGGTTGACACGAGAAATCTGCATCAACTCAAGCGGAGACAACCCCCCCCCCCCCCCCCCCCACACCCAAACCCCCGCGATTCACCCAGGGGCGACAACTCCTTCCAGACCGTTCGCACTGAGCTCACTTATGGCTACACCAACGGCTCATACGTCGCGACATGACGCGCTGGTGGAATTTCACTGGGCCGTCTCGCCTGCTACCAATCTTCGAACCCCCCGTTTGATTTACCTCCCATTATGGGCGAGTTATTGTAAACCTGCACGCTATTTGCGTCTTGTGTTGTTTTTCTTTTATTTTCTTTATGTTGTTACCAACCAGACTATTTTACTATTTACGGTCAGTGTATTCAGCGTTTCTCTAGTGTTTATGGTACAGAAATTCTAAAAACAATCGGAGTATTTATTTTAACGGAATAGTTGTATGTTAACTGGTATGGTTATCTGTTAACATTACTGTTTAAATTCGTTGGATTTATCTCAGCTTGATCAACGTTATATTGTGAGGTGTTTTTTTTTACAGTGTATTAAAAACCGAAGTGGAATGGATGGATTTCTGATTTCACCCGAAGGAGTTGTTCGGTAGTGTTCAGTTGAGTGTTTGTCTACCAGCTTTAATGGATGTAGTTTCTTAAGGTAAGGAGCACTTGAACACTTTGGTACAGAATTCATTTTTTTAATGTTAGTTATAATATACGAATGCCAATGGCTGAACAATAATCACTCTAAGTCTAATAGATCTAGAAGTTTTTTAAAGTAAGTTGCAGTGCATAATATAACAAACATTAGATATATGCCTACTGAACATCTAAGTAATATGTAGATCTACAGCCTACAGATATCGAAGTAATGTAATGTAGCATTTATGATAGCTATTAAATTTATATCTAGATCTACGTGTCACTGTTTCACAAACTACACTAGGAAAATAGATCAAATACAAATTAACAAGCCACGTAGTTTCAAAATAATTTAAAATATAGATCTAGATCTAGAATCTAGATTCTAGATGTAATATAACAAAATACTAAGCTATAAGAGAAATCGGTTGAAAATAGATCTAGATCTAGATCTATAGGCCTATTTACCTTAGCAATATTGTTTTTTGGATGTGGTTTTTTTTTAAATCTAAAAATGCTTACGTTTTGAATTGAGGTTGCATTCAGTGAATCTCATGTTGATTTGCGCTTTCTGAACACTTAATACATAGATCTAGACGAATTAACTAATTTCATGCTAGTACACCTATGTGAATTTTTTCCTGTGACTTTTTTCCTGGTCCTTTATTTCTGTGACTTTTTTCCTTACACTTTCCTTCGCATCTGCGTAAGAGGGAAAATACAAAACTAGCCATTCAAAAACGCAAAAATAACGGATACAATTAAGTTTCTAACATTGCTTTTTAAAATGCAAAAGTATGTCGCCACAAAAATCAGTACTTTCCTCACGTAGTTATTGGATGGCTCCGAAAATAACATTTCATTTATTCGTATTTAATTAGGTTCACTATAACTTTTGTTTTTGAGCCAACTGTCCGGTAAATATTTTGATTCGTGGCATTTGAAATGGGTTGTTTAAAAAATATAATTGCATTGTAGTTTGTTCTTGGTTGGACAAAGGCTGTGGAAGCAAATCCAAAAAGAAAAGCAGGCTGAAATCGGAGTCAATGGCCTCCATGGAGTGGATCCCTTCTTTTTTTTTTTAAATGGCACAAGTTTATTGAGGTCAGAGAATTTGACAGTGAACAGGTATGTTGAATGCCTGGCTCCATTTGTACCATTCTGTTTTGTAGGTAAGGTTGACATTGAGGAACAGACAATTCAAATTTACTTGGATCAAGCCCTCATCTTTCTCCTCTTGCGCTTCAACCTTCGCATACGCTTCTTGCGCCACTTAGCTCTCATTTTCTGCCATAGATGCTGAAATGATAGAATGTAAAAGGGTTGATAGCGTTGTTAACTAAAATTAAGAACGAAGAAGAAGAAATATAATTTCTAATTTTTAATATAGAATCTAGAATCTATCTACTATTGAATGTCATCATGCCACTGTTTTTAGTTGCTTGCATGTCTATGTGGCCAGGACAAAAAATTGGCATCAGATTTTGTTTAGTTGCTAAAATATTGTTTACAACAAGAACATTGAGTCTGTACAAAAGTAATACGAAAACATAAACTTTCATGATTAAAACAACCTTTTAAATACTGCACAGTGTTTCTTTAAATATTTATCTCCTCTTTAAGAGAAGACCTGAGTCAATGCCATTTTAGAATGTTCTAAAAACCTTTGTAGAATAATGTCGAATCGAGATTTAGGCTCAGAAATTTGTGGTCAGGATTGGGGTTAAAGATAACGAAACTTACTGCTGGAAATATTCTTTACAATTTTAAATTAGCGTCTTTAAAAATAAATTATTAGTATAAGTAATATAGTATAATTAATTAACCGATTATGATTTGCTGATTTCCCATTTCATGTGTATTTTCCAATAGAGTAAATAGGTTTGATCTGTAGCTACATTTTACTCGAATGGACGTCATAGTAGGGTGCTGTTGTCCATATATTATATCACTCACCTGAATCGAAAGTCGGGGACGGGGGTTAGGGGTGGAACTTAACAGTGGTCAGGCCTAGGCTTCATGTGGCATTGCACGATGATGGTTATGTGGGGCGTGCCAAAAATCGAGCTGGTGACAGTTTGAACGACGTCTAAAACATGCCGTGAATGATTACCTGTCTAATTTACCCACCCAGAAACCTAACAGTTGGACATAAATCTATATATGGATCCTAGAGTATCGAGTTCAAGAGAACGAATCATCATAATAGGTGACCATCACGCAAGCGAACATTTACGCATATCTTGTTGGCTAAAACAGACTCAAATAACCAGGGTTAACCAGGGCGTGGTTAGGTTTATAGTTTAGAACTAGATCTAGCACCGTATGTTATTAACGTTTATTATACTCACAGGCTGCTAAATTTAACCTAACCTTAAACTATAGAGCTTCTTTTTATTTTTGGTGTTTGTTATTAGTCTTTGTTAAGTTTAATGTTATGGTTATGTTTCTGGTCGATGGTCCGAGATTTGTGATTTTTAAAGTTCGCATGCTAATGGAGGGAGGGGTGTATGTGACTAATTAACATGTACCCTAATAGTACATGCACTTTTACCATGTTCGCTATTGTTACTCATGGCTTCACTGAAGTATTTGTTTATTGCACCAACGTAGTGGGTGGATAACTCTAGAAGTCTATTCATGTCTAATGCATGTTTTCTTGATATGCATGCAGCCGAGCGCGGTGGCTGATATTATAAATAGCATCACTCATGGTTGCATTCTGTTGTCTTTATTCTGTTTATTTATTCGCTAATCTGAATGGATCAACACTAAGATTATGCTATAAATGTAGATGGGGGATGATAATTTGATAGAAAGTCACATGAACAAAAGTGCAAGAATATTGTTCTCTTTGTGCTTGTCTTTACGAAAGATTTACGGAAAAAGGGTGTTCGGTGGAAAAGATGAGTTAGTAATCTGTTTTTTATTGACTCTTATTATTTAAAAAAAATATGTTACTGTCGGACATAAATTTGTTTCTTATTAAACATCTTCTGATGTTGTGTTCGAATGTTGATACCATTATTCTACCAGCCCTTGAAACCCATTCGGGTCCCGAACTTTGTGGGATCCCATGAATCTTACACTTCTTTACCTTTATAAGGTATGCGGCGGCTGATGTCAGGCATCAGGTGTATGACATCATATCTTAACCCTAGCCCTAAACCAGTGTTTCTTCCAGGCATCTTTTCAAAGAAAGTCAACCCCGAACGAACGAAATGGAATTTATATAGAAAATATATACTTTTAACATTGTCCGCCCCCCCCCCCCCCAATCCCGGAAATTTTAGTCCGCCCGCCGAAAATTTCTAGTGCTCTCCCCCCCCCCCCCCCCCCCCCGCGGAGAAAAATGTCTGGAAGAAACACTGCCCTAAACCCTTGCCAGTCGTACGTAACCGTAACCTTAGCACACAACTCTAAACTGGTAACGGAAAATAGCATCTCTCTTCAGACTCCATTGACCGGAGATTCTCTCTACACTTAAAAACCTTGCATTTTTTAACCCGACATTTTGAAATGTGGTTTTATTCCGTCTATAGTGTTAAGTCCGCTTTCCCCCCCCCCCCCCCCACCTATATGAATCAAAGACTATGACGATTTTCGTGTATTCAACAATCAGAAACCACTCGTAAGCTTGCAAGTGTATGGACTTTAATATTTAATTAGCACAAACCAAAATAGTGTAAGAATAATAAAAGTGTATTTTTTAAAACTTAATGAGTTATAACGGCATAAGATCCAACCATAACTACACAGGGTGTGTACACACCAACGCATGGTATGCAAATGCATAGCTACGCATAAAGTGTAAACGCAAAGCTACGCAGTGTATGTAAACATCTACGTAGGGTGTGTAAACGCATTTCTACGCAAGGTGTGTAAAAGCATATTTACGCAGGATGTGTAAACGCATATATACGCAGGGTGTGTAAACGCATATCTACGCAGAGTGTGTAAACGCATTTCTACAAAAGGTGTGTAAACGCATATCTTCGCAGGGTGTGTAAACGCATATCTACGCAGGGGTGTGTAAACGCATATTGTGGCGCGAGTTTGCATGGTGTGTAGTGGAGGGGAAACAACCCACCCTTCCAACAACGTCACAGATGTTCCGTGCCAGCTTGTGGTACCATCGGTCACCAGTGCTCCATACCCGGTAAAGAAAGTGTGCCAATATGCCAGGTTTGAGGGGTAGGGTGGGGAGGGAGGGGGCATTGGGCCTTGAATTCACGAGGCAACCGTCAGTATCGTGACCTAGTGTACACGTGTACCAACAAAGCCAATGTCAAGGTTAGTATCAGCAAGATATTTTAGTAACGATTATATAAATGACTTTAACTTTTTGAAAATTGATTTCGTTGAACATGTTTGTGGAAAATTATAAGCTGTGTGTTGATGAAACTCGTGTTATATGATTTATTATTTTAATTATACACATTTGATGATCGAAAAACGAGGAAGAAAAAAAAAACTGATCCGGCATTTTTATACACAAAACACGCCAGAAATCCATTTAGCTAACTGATAGGGTCCAGGCACCAGATTTGTGGTTTAGCTTTACGTCTACTACAAGGCCACGGATTTCCGTACGTCAGACTAAAGCGTTAAACTAAAACGTTACATCCACTAATTTGCGGCCACACGGTCATCACGTGTTGCGTCACTCACAGACTTAGTGCATTAAAAATAAAGTCATCATTTTATGACTGGATTTTCAGACTTAGTTCACCTACCATTTAAAAAAAAAAAAAAAACAGAAAATAAAACCCATAAAATATTACAAAATCACAACTTTATAGAGGAAACTGATTGTTTACATGGCTATCTGTTTTAAGAAGAAGACTTGATCCGTGATCCCCCCAAATCAGTTGTGTGTCAGGCTAGCCGGTGTCCTCCCTCACAAAACAGGTGTATTTCAGGGTAGCCGGGGTCCTCCCTCACAAAACAGGTGTATTTTATGGTAGCCGAGTTCCTCCCTCACAAAACAGGTGTATTTCAGGGTAGCCGGGGTCC